TATTTAGATATGAGAGTTTTAAAAGCTCAATTTTTTTCTTTCCTAATCTCAATTGTACCACTTTAAATATATACAGTTTGAAATCTAGCAGGGACTATTTTTTGGGGGCGGAATGGTGGCTTGTGGAAATATCTTCTTTTCTTCTTCTCTAAATTATTACAGAACAGTGAATTTAGTTATTAATTTTACACAATCAAAGCCTACCAGAAATTTTCAAATATAAGTTAAATTAGTAATATGGAACTAAAGTTTTAAAATATATCAAGTGAGTATGATTTTCCACATATGAGGGTTGTTAGAAAGTTCGCGGACAAGTTCTATTGTGAGCGCGCTATTTCCATGAAACCGTTTAAACTCTTCAGATAAAAACTTTAACTTTTTTCCAATAAATATACAAAGATTTGGTGTTTTCCGGTGATAATTAAAAAATATACAGCTATATTATTTTGATAAAACATGCTTCACGGAGCATGCTACATTTTTTAAAGTTCATAATACACTGTACATAGACTTTTTAATGAAATAAAAAAATAGACAGTTGTAGCGCAAAAAGAATTATGACATTTTTTTCTGCCGCTACAGTATTCATGAAACATCACATGGTGAAATTTTGAATTGAATTGGATGGTGTATGAATGTTTTAAAGCCATTTATATATAATCAACGCGTAAAATGAAAGCCAAGAATGGGAGCGTCATTGAACGTCATGGAGCACCGAGCTACTAAATTTGTGTGTGTAATAAAGAAAATGTCAAAAAATAAACAAAGTGCTTCTATACGCTGCTAGAAATTGTCTACACGTAATATTCAATTGGTAGTAGCTTCATAAGAATGGAAGGATTAACATTTTTTATTATCAACTTTCATGCGATACCTCAGTAACCCCATTTATCGGATGAAAGTTGCGTCTAGGGATTTTGCATTGTTTCCAAACCTGATCATGATCGCTTAACTCCGTAGACGTTCATTTTAAGACCTCGCTAATATCCGAATAACACTTAAGACATTATAAAAGAAAAGTAACATGTCTCGATATTGATATTTAATTTTTAAGTAGAAAAAACGGGTTTAAAATCTGGTTGTCACGTCACTAGCGTCAAGTGATTACTCCGTGAATCCTATGACCGCATAGTAAAATCGTTGTAGATTTTCAAAGTTTCAGTAAATGGACCTGATTTTTTACATACCAATAAACAAAAGATGGGAATTTAATTAGACATAGGTCACATTTCACAGTACACAATAGATTTTCCGTAAAGCAATCTGTCCGCGAACTTTTCTAACAACATTACTGTAACAATTATTTTAGTTTTAAAAGCTTCCAATATACCATAAGATTTGAGCAAAAAATCTGTAAAAAGTGTTTCTTTTCCTCTTAGTGAAGGATCAAAACTTTTTTTATTTCTTGTTTTTTGTTTTTGTTTTTTGTTTTTGTTTTTGTTTTTTTGTTTTTGGTTTTTCTTGTTTATTGTTCATCGCGCATTTAAAGATTCGAAGGCAATATGAAAACCATATTTCTTTCTGTATTCAATAATGCAGAAGTGAAAAAAAGAATAAGATATATTACATGATGAGTACGTACTGGTCCCTGCTGACAAAGCAGGTAACGACATTATCTTCCTTTGTAAGGCTCATTATACATGTTATGTAAATTGTATATTAGAAGAACTTGGATTTTATTTTAAAAGTGGTAATCCAACTTATACTCATAGTCCCCTTTCAAAGAAAGAAATTCTTCAAAATCATATGTCTTTTTTTCAATATGTTTAATATCTCGAAGAATCAAAATGAATTTGAGCTACCATGGATTCCGAAACTTAATAAGAATCCTCAGAAACAAAGATACATTGTGGGTTCCAGTAAATATTTAACCAAGAATCTTTCTTTACTCCTCACTAAGATATTGACAGTAGTAAAGGAAAAAATTCAAGAGCAATGTGCAAAATATATTCAAGAAGTGTGTGGTAGAGCGTTCGCTTCGTGATCGGGGGGTGGGGGGGGGGGGGGTGTGATCGATTCTCGTTCGCGGCGCTGCGTCATACATAGGACGTGAACATAGGTAGTGACTGTTCCTTCGCCAAGCACTCACCACTAGAAGTGAAAGTCACGAGTCTTTCGGATATGACCTTAAAATGTACTTCCTGTGTCACGATACGCGTAGGCACGATAAGGATCCCTCACTGCTCAATGGCCTGAGTGCCGAGTATAGGTCTAAATTTGAAGCCCTTCGCACGGCATACGGTGACTTCTCCATATGAGTGAAAAATTCTCGAAAGGGACGTTAAACAATATATAATCAATCTTATTGTAAAAATGTTTTAAAGCAATGGATTTAAGTTAAATTATCTGTTTGAATTTTAGGCAAACATTGATAACTACAATTTCTAATTTTTTAAAAATAATTGTTTATATATTCTTATACGTTTTCACTCATTTTTCAAAACATAGAGTGACCATTGAGTATTTTTTTTTTACTGTCAGCTGTTTCTTTAAAATGGTGTGAACTACTCCCAAATTGATGCCTTTTAAATTTGCTATGAGTTTTGTATTCTTTAAGTGAAACATATTTTTGAATATAGGTGATGCATGTGTATGATTTTAATATTTTAAGCAACTAATGTTTACTTGAAAAATGGATAAAGTTTAAAGCGGTGTAACGTTTTTGCTGGGTAATTACATGTTTTCCAGTAATACCCGGTTTTAAATTTGTGTTTGCCATGCAATGAAATAGCTCACTTATGACTAAAACATAAAGAAAAAAATTTTAATGCACTGAAAAGTCGCACAGAAAAAAATCTAAAGTGTATTTAATTTCGTCAATAGGAAACCGGCAGAAATATATGCCTTTAGTGTGTGCACAAATCATATCCATGTATCGTCTGCGTATGGAATATATAACATGCTAAAAATTATTTTATAGTTTGTTGTTTTTTTTTTTTTTGTTTTTTTTTAGACTGGGCAAGAGTTGGCAATAACCAATTTTAAAAACCGTTAAAACCGCTTTAAATTGTTCATGATTTAAATGAATTTTAAAATATTTAATTAGAATCATCTTATCTATCTAAAGAAAAATCCACAAATCATAGATTTTATTTAAAAGTTTTTTGAAATTTTTAATAACTTTGCAATGGTTTGTCTGTTTATAAATTTTCACAGGCAAGCGCAACCGCGAAATTCGCGCACAAAAGACGTTTTTTCGCGAACCAAATCGGTTTTTAATCCAGTAAAAATTATTTATGTATGGATTGTGTTGTTAATACATTGTTATCACTTATAATAATTTTATTAAAAATTGCTTGATTATCCATTAATTTCAGGTTTATGTTTTTCCATGCGTACGTAATTCTTATAAATATTTGTCAAAATAAAAAGTGAAGTTCAATTAAGTACAGACATTAACATTTTACTAATACATTTTTTACTAAAGTTCTATAAAATTTTATAGACAGCACATTTTTAAATGAAAACACATTTATTGTCGTAAACAATTTCAAAAAAGAAAGGCTTATACAAAGGACGATGACAAAGCTCAAAAAAATATTTTTTTAAGAAAATGTAAATTATATAACTTTGAATTATAGTTTTTTTTTTCACAATAATGCTCATATAATTGTATGTAATGAACTTAAAAGCATTTCATAAGTGATAAACTACTAATTTTGCGATTTTCAGAAAAATGCACTGTTTCCCCCTCCCCCCACTTAAGCCATAATGATGCAAGGGCAATTTTGAAAATTAAAATACAGAATAATCAATATTTGATGTGAGAAACACTATAGTGGCAAAAGAATGATATATGAATTGATGTTCTTTTATAAATAATAATAAACACTGTATAGGTTCATATATTTTTAATTCAGCTGTTGTCTCTGAAAACAAAATTGAAACCATGCACTTCTTCATAATATACTTTTGAAGAAAGCTAAAAATTATTTTTCACGTTATGCAAGTGCATAAAAATTATCTACGCGGGTTTTATGTAGTGAAATGAATGTTTTTTTTTTAGGTTTTGAAATAAAAAATAAAATGATTAATTAATATATACCGTATTGCTGTTACATGTGATACTTATAAAAATATATGTATTGTATGCAAACGCGAGCTCTACGTTGAATAGAGTTGTTATATTTTTTAATTATAGATAATTTCCCGTTTCTATTAAATGAATATCTAACAAAGCGTCAAAAAATACGTTTTATTTTTCCCTGCATATTACCAATGACTGCAAACTATGATGACGCACAATCATGTACAACTGTGAATCATCCTTTATAAATTTATTGCAATAACAATTGACTTGAAAGATGGAACCATTGTCATTTACATTCTTGATAACAAAGTTTAGAAACTCTAATTTCTTATACTCTTCACAGTCATTAATAATTGACATGAAAGTTTATATTTGCGATAGTGATACATATAGTAAGTTGAAAGTTGTACTTGTCTGTAAATCAATCTAATTCTGGAAAAAGAACTGTCGATAAATCAGCATTTTTAACGGATATGTTTTTAGACTGAAGCCATCATATTTATTCCAACATTCAGACGACGGCGCCTCAGTTGACAATACATGCGTTTTTATTTACATAATCAATATATACACCTTTCTAATTGATCCTTTAAAGTTTGTATAAAAGACAAAGACAAATATGGTGGTTTCAACATTTTTTACTTTATTTTATTTTATTTTTTTTTCATGAGCACACTTGTTACCGCAAAATATTTTCATTGGAAATTATTTGTCGAAAGTTATAATTATTTTTCTGTTTCAATATTTTGCGGTAACGACTGTATGTGAAATTTTTATTGTGTTAAATTCACAAAACTTTTTTTAGATTTAACATCCATCCGGTTTTGACGAAATTGTTGCAAAATGCGGTTTGATGATCAATTTGACTCATTTTTTACTTTATTTATTTCCCATGTGTATGATTTTAATATTTTAAGCAACTAATGTTTACAATTGACGGTTACATCAATGTTTTCTTGTTTCTTTATAGGTTTAGATCCATGGCCAACCACTACACCAAAACCAACCGTGAAACCTACTCAACATGTTATAATCTCTTGTAGAGGTGTAAGACAAGATGGTGATATTAAGATTTGAAATTTGTTTGAAAGTATACGTGATATTATCGATGTAGAAATTTATATCTTATTTGAAGGATCATCACTGTCCACGTGGGTATAGGTGTGGATTTTTAGACTACTGTGTTCGCTGTAAGTAAAGTAAACTATAACTGTAAGTAAATTTAAAGAAAAAAATTACTTGTTATTTTTTCAATGTACATTTTGAATCCACTTTGAAATATACACAATCATATAGAATAATGGATAGTTTATTTATCAAGTTTAAACCATTAAAAACAAAACCGTCACAATTTTCAGGCCTTTGTTAAGTATTCACATAATAATCTTATTTTTATTATTTATTCTAGGGGGTAAATAAGGAAGAAACAGCTGCTTACAAAGTGAAGGAGAATCGATTTCGATTTGTTAAAAACAACCTTGTAGTTGGTCATCCAAGAAAGATAATTACTTTTTTGAAAAAATGAAAACAAAATGATGATGTTCAGAATGCTAAAACTATGACTAAAAATAAATATCAACATCACAGAAGTTTTTCCATTCTATATACTATAGTATTTTATTTTCGGCATCAAAAGTTTATTGATAAGTAACATCTACCTTTTTATAAAATAAAACATGATGTTATGCTTGCAACAGCAGACTTTCTAGTTAAGGTCTTCCGTCTTCACGGATCTTCAGCTATAACAATATTGGCATTTTTTAATTGCTTCAATACACATGTATACATTAAATAACTTAACACATTCAGTCGGGGGGGGGGGGGGGGGGGGGGGGGGGGGGTCGTTCTTCGTTATTATGTGTATAGAAGATTCTTTTTTATATAAAATATTTATCACACTGTAATGATGATTTTATGAGTGTGTGAAAGCCAGACATCATATCTTTTTCATTTCACATGCTGAATATTATCGTTTAATAGAAAAGTATTTCAACAAAAAAAATATGTATCGTTCGGGATTCGAACCCGGGAGCTCTTACTAGTTAAGAGACATACCATGGAGTCACTTTATTTTGTTATGAAACTTTATTTTGTTATTAAATGCAAACACCAGGTCACATACATGTATTTATTCAAAATTTCGATATTGTCAAAATTTTACACAATGCATGGTGTCTAATTTAGCCTTTATTAAACAGTTCTAATAGATGCATGTAATAAGAATAAAAAGTCCACTGACATCCTGTATTATAAATAATGACTCTCCACATGCCCCTGTGCTAAAAATAGTGCCAAGCGACATTTAATACAATAAATACCAATAAAACAAGCAAGGCACTTAGAAAGGGATGAGAGAGGCCCTTGGGAGTTTTGGTAAATTTCATTACAAAAATTCAAAATCTTCTTGAAATATCGCCTGGAAACAATAGTGTTTCACATAGAGAGAATGTATAAATTTACGAACTTCAACTTTAACCTTTGACCTCAAAATCACTAGGGTTCTTATTTTGGCCATAGGAAGTTGCTATGCAAAATTTCATTGCGAAACCTTGAAGGGTTCTCGATATATCGTACGGAAACGAAAGCGTTACAGAAAGACAGACGGACGGACGGACACTATCAGTGAAAGCGGGAGACAGTAAGTGATGCGTTATAAATTTGTCTGGTGCACCTTTACTAGTGTGCTTAATTAGAACCTTTTTCGGTGTTCTGCAAATTATAAAACCCGATGAGTTCAGAGTAGCTCTGGCGAGAGTAAGCGAGACTACAGCGAAATAGGGCAAATTTTTCACGGAAATGTGGTAGGGAAGTGACCAGCAGGTGGAGACATGGTTAACAGAAAAGTTTTGCTGCGTTTCATTTTTTACCACCCTATAATATTTGTAAGAATGTACTTTAATCGATCTCTATTGAATTCATTCTAATTTAAATATCTCTATGATACAATTTTCTGCAGTCATGAATCAAAATTTGACAATTAGACAAATATTTTGCATGGGAACCGGGACAATATTTTTTGGCGTCAGATTAGCAAATGCGGCACCAACATGACTTTGACTGACAAATACTACAGGAATTTTACGCTTGACAAAAGGAAAACCTCATAGCGATTGGAAAAGGCACAAAAAACATTTTCCCATCTATTTCTTAAATGGAAAACATTTAAAAAATTCTATTTTTATTCAAGTTCACAATAACAATTCATTTGTTAAAGCGATTTGCGTCTGTATTAATTCCTGTGTTGTACTATCGGTAAATTGAATTATCAGGTGGATTCCTTGGCCAAAATTTAACAACAATTAAAACGCCCGTGACATCGTTCATAGTTTCTAATCTTTGTATTTTGTTCATAAGAACATTTTCATTTTATTTTGCACTCCATTGACATGATCATAGATTGACCCGATCCACGTGTGGTCAGTTGCTGGTGGTAGGATCCTCTGTGCACATTAATAACAATAGCCATATAAGGCAAGCAAAGGTTTGTCAGTGTAGATGATACCGATGTTGTAGACTAGGATTTCCCCCATAGCCAGCTTCCCCCCTCCCCGGAAATCGTACTCTAGAGTAGGATTTTCCCCCGAGGGGAAATATCACACCAGAGTACGTACGACATAGTATCTCGTTCGTACGACTTAGTATCTCGTTCGTACGACTTAGTATCTCGTACGTCCGACTTAGTATCTCGTTCGTACGACTTAATATTATCTCGTTCGTACGACTTATTATGTCGTTCGTACGACTTATTATGTCGTACGTACGGCATAGTATCTCGTTCGTACGACTTAGTATCTCGTACGTACGACTTAGTATCTCGTACGTACGACTTATTATCTTATTATTTTTTTCTCAAGTGGCAGCAATACGCTTCCGTAATTATTCCATTTAATAATGTGCACTGTTTATGGCTCAAAAACACATGGAATTTATGTAAATGTTGTTTATAATATTGTAACTCTTGCCTTAGCGTGTGGACATGAGAGTCGTACGTCCTGCAAACCGTCTTTTTTGCAGACGTAGCGCCTTTTTTCATGCGCATTTTCCAGTATTTCCTTAAAAAGTTGCCGATGACACCAATTTTTAATGGAATTTTCTTTCAGATAATATATTACTGTCCACAGGAATCGCCCACAAAGGTTTTAAGATATATGATTTTTTTTTTATTGAATTTTACACAACATATCCAAAAATGGACGACGGCTGTGGACACTATTTTCTGAAGGAAATTACCCTTGAAATAGGTACCAGTAATTTCGAGGCATTACTGTTTAAAATAAAGGAATGCATCAAATGACTTCATATTCCCGGAATGGTACTCCCTTCTGCCATATACTTTCCCGATCCATCACAGTCATAACTCAATTAACTAATATTTGAGCCAGTTTCAAAACTTTTTGAAAACATTAATTTTTTAGGGCATAATAAATCTAAAACTGTACTTTTTGATTAAAATATTTCTTTTTTATCTAATTAAAAGTACGACCAATCTATGAAAAAAAAAATATTGTAATTGATTGGATTGGAAATCTTGAAATTCGATTATCTTGATTATAGGACTTATTTTTTCTTTAATTGATAAATACATGCCACGTGGTATTTTTCCAAAGATTTAAATTTACATTGAGATTTTACAAAGCTTAAGATAAATCTAGAACCAGAAAAAAGAAAAAAAAGAAATTCATTATGTTTGATTTATTACAGCTGCAGGTTACAAGAAAACTGTGTTAATAAATCAGTATTTTGAAGAAAAGAATAACCGTTGGAAAACCTGGCCATGGGTTGATAATGTATGGTTCTTTTGTAAATTTTTAATACAGTTTGTTGCAATGATTAATTTTAAATATCTTGCATGTTGCAGTCTTTTTATTAATAAAAAAAAGTCGGGAATAGATGGAATGGATAGATTTTCAAATCTGAATGTTTTCAATAAAAGTATTTCATTGATTTTGTCTAATGATTTTCAGATTAAAAGAAATTTTGCACATTTGTGTTATTTGTTCTTTATAATTAGAAAATGTTGGTGAATTTTGATGAATTTGTCTTTGAATGATTGATAGAGAATGTCTCAATAATTTGCTAACAATCCTCGTACATATTCTTACACTTATAACACATGTCTGTTTAAAAATTTCAGCCATACCCCAACACTAATTGAAAATATTTTTGAGATGGTACATGTTGATATCCAAGATATTACACACTGATAATCACATTTCAACTCGTAAATTCACGATTTTTAAATTTAATAATGTGTTATACCACAACCCATCTTGACTAAATCAACGATGACATATTTTTGGTCCGTTTTACCAAACACAGTTAAATGGTAGAAACAGCGATTGGGACCAGTAGAATACGCGTGCACTTTTAGAGGTAAGAATTTCCAACTTGCTAAGGTAAAATATATATGGATTTAAATAGAAAATCATTCCTATAAATGAAATATATGGAGATAACGAACAGCATTCAGGTTGAAAAGTCCATCAAACAGTACAAAAAAGGGGCAGAGCAAACACGAACTTCCGAAACATCAGGGATGGGATCAGGTCCTATGAAGGAGTGAGCATCCCCTACCGACCGGTCACACACGCCGTCCGTGTGATCCTTGTCATAATCGGGAAATAACGGGAAAATCCGTCGACAATTCAGTGTGTATAAACTGAACTAATTAGTATGAAAAATGTCAGTCAACGTTTAACTCAAAGATAAATTTTACTTGCGACAAGGTCATTGTATCGTCCATATTGTACACTGAATCTTGTTAATACTATTAATGGTGCATTAACATCTTAGGAAATTCTCGGAAGGTTTCGGAGAAAACTATCGGACTGCATTGTTTAAATTAGAGAACATTCAGAAAAAATACTGTAAATCAGTTTTTATTCAAGAGAACTTTATTTTTGCGCACTTTTGCGAGACAATTAGCAAAATTTCATTCTCACGTATTAAAGTATTTCTTACGCCAATTTAGAGGAAAAACAACAATTCGTGAAAATGTGAAAATTATGTCTCGCTTATAAATAAATAAATAAGGCGTAAATAAGGTGTCGCAAAAATTTTGTGATCTACAGTATTGTATTCGTTAATACTAATGTGGATTTCACAAACTCGTATCAGTTAAATCATTGAAATTGTAACAACACTTTTTTAAACAATACATCCACGAATTAGCAAAAAAGTTATACACATCGACATTCCCTAGTTCTTGTTTTAATAATTATAATTCTTGTAAAAGTGTTATCGAACAATAAACGAATTTAATTATTTATTTCAGGCATGCCTACTTGTAACTGGGAAAAAAACTAAATCATTAAAATTAATAATTCTGTTTTGAATAAAATGATCCTGCTCATAATGAAAATCTGACAATTGAAACTTTACTTCTGTTCGTTAATATATACAGACTCAAACATGACTTTCGTCCTCGTATTAAGAATAACGAAAATGTACAATTACCTACTGCAAGAATTTTTACATTCGTATCTATTTTTGTATCTACAGAAAAATTTTCCTCTGATGAAATGAACTCTATCTACAAAAATCATACAATGGATA